CACTTCTTTTGATTCTTGCTGGCTGGCTCTAGAACTCATTTCATTCATTTGTGTAATTTGGCTGCGGCACAAAAGTGGATGACATTACTTTAGAGAATTCTAGCTTATATGTAAATATAAAAATTAATATACTAATAATTAAACTCCTAAGAAATTCAATGAAAATGGGTTCTTTTAAACATGGAAAACAAAGAACGTTAAGATGGTACGTTAAAATAAAGAAGACACATTACTATCATGATTTGATTGTTTTTCAGAGTTAGTTAGCGCTTCAAAATCCGGTAAATTCATGAATGGTTCGTTGATAAATGTTTAATAACATGTTAAATAATCACTAGTATCTTCATTTTAACTTATCATCTTAATCTTTACTGTTTTCCATATTTCCATCAATCCATTTTCATTGAAGAGCCTTCTTAAAGTTTGGAGTATATACATATGAGCTAAAAATCTGTAAAAAGAGCAATGTCATCCAGTTTTTCGATGTGAGCAAATGACGTCAATTATTCAGCGGTCAACGACCGCTGGCATATTACTACGTGAGGTGGACCCGACGTTTTTGACTCATCGTGGCATACGTTTCTTGCTTCACTCATTCGCTCATTTGACTCATTCATTTCCATTAAGTAATCATTAAAGAATTGTTCGATTTGTCCATCCTTTCGCTCATTCGTTCAATCTTTAATTTAATCACTTCATCCCCAATTATCTAGTCCTACATTATCGTTCCTATTCACTTCAATCATTTCAATTTTTACAAGTGAAATTACCTCATGCAATTTTTAATCACAAAGCACTGCTTTGAGGATTCCCAATTTCTTAAAATTTCACTCATTTTTGAGATTCGTAAGAAAAGTAGTAGTAGTTGAAGGCTGTATACTATTTATATGAGAAAAGCCACACAAGCCCAGTGGAGCGTGAAGTTTCCCACTCAGTCATTACTACTCAGTCTACGCTTTAGGTGAAATGTGCAATATCGTATAGATGGCACATGCATAATTTTCTTCTATTTCTTACAGG